CCACGCATGGAGAAAAGGAGGCGCCTAAGGTGGGCAAAGCGTTACCCCCACCTCCCTTTGATGTCGAGCCGGAGTCGAATCCTGCCCGAGTGAGGCTAACCATTGAAGTCATCTCCAACTCGATTGACCTAAGGCAGAAGTTAGACGAAGGAAGGCGTTTGAAGTAAGCCACCGCCAATGCGTGCGCGACCGTCCAGATTCATTTCAACGAGGTGTCCGAGGAGGCATGTCGTGTGCCATCAGTCGAAGTGTAGGAAATCAGGGGCGTGGTGGCCGGGTGCGAAGTGAAAAGGATGTTGGTGGACACGGGGAGCTCGATGGATGTATTATTCCGGTCCACCTTTGAGAATATGAAGCTATCGCCGAGCATCGTGAGGCCGGCCGACACGGTTCTGGTTGGGTTTTCGCGGGTGCCGGCTCGAGTCATTGGGCGCATGCGCCTGCCGGTGACGTTGGGGGAGGAGGAACACAGAGTGACGCATACGGTTGACTTTGGCATTGTAGATTGCCCATCCCCATACAATGCTATCCTAGGGAGCCCACTACCAGCGCTCTTCAACAAGATGGCGTCGTCGTGTCATCAAGTTCTGAAGTTCATTACTCCGAAAGGAGTAGGGGTGTCAAGGGGTGAAGCATCGCAGGAGGCGCGCCTTGTCAAGAGAACGCGGATGTAAAACATAGACGTGCGCCCTGAGGGCCTACCAAGGGCGGAAGTGACAGACACCGAAATTCTGGTGTCAGTAGACAACGAGCGCCCTGAGCGGTGCATTCGCATCTCTGCTCATACAAGCGGTGAAGCGATCGAGTCATTGGTTGAGTTGTTGAAAGAATTCGCAGATCTCTTTGCTTGGAGTGCCAAGGAGATGGCCGGGGTGAGACCAGAAGTGGCGGTGCATCGCTTGTCGGTGGAGAAGGGTGTGCGTCCTGTGCAACAGAAAAGGAGGCCTTTGGCGGAGGAGAAAGAAGAGGCGTTGCGCGAGGCCGGTAAGTTGCTCGAAGCTAGATTTGTAGAGGAGGCGCAATACACGACGTGGTTATACAATGTAGTGCTAGTACCTAAGGCGTCGGGGGACTGGAGGATGTGCGTCGATTACACGAGTTTCAATCGAGTGTGCCCCACGGACGCGTATCGAATGCCCCACATTGACCTGCTGGTGAATGCAACCGCTTACCATGAGGCGTTGAGTTTTTTTGGACATGTTTTCCGGGTACCATCAGATTCTAATGTGCGAGGAAGACCGGGAGAAAACCGCATTCATGACCCCCTTCGGCAACTTCCGCTACAAGGTTATGTCGTTTGGGTTAAAGAATGCGGGGGCAACCTATCAGCGCATGGTGAAAACTATGTTCCAAAGGTAGATCGAGAGAAACGTGGAGGCGTATGTGGATGATCTGGTTGTCAAGAGCAAGAGGAAAGAGGACCACTTGAAGGATTTGCGCGAAACTTTTGAGACCATGCGTGCTCATTCCCTTCATCTCAACCCGTTGAAGTTTGTTTTCGTCGCGGAGGCCGACAAGTTCTTGGCCTTTATGATAACGAAGAGGGGGATCGAGGCCAACCCAAAGCAAGTTGAGGCAATCAGACGCCTCGAACTTCCAAGAACGCCTAAGGAAGTGCAAAGTTTGAACGGGCGCCTACCGGCATTGGGGCGATTCATCCCGTGATCGGCGGACAGGGGAGCGATCCATTTGATCAAAATTCAATTGGATTGATGGATTATTGATAAATTATAATTTAGCACCTATAATTTTTACATTTCACAATTTGGTACCTAAAATGTATTTCTCTCTCGTGTTTCCCCATTTATATTCAAAATTGGGTGTCAATTCGAAAGTAAATTGTGCCATTAAATTCAAATATTTATTAACAAATAAAATATCAATCAACCTGCCAACCAACAGGCGGGGGACTGCGGAGGGACAAAGGAGGGGCGGGTAATTCCCGACTCGGGGTAGTGTGGGGCGGGGCATGGATATCTACTATCTATTTTCCGACTCGCCGTGTCCCGTCCCGTTCTTGACTCATTCTCTCTCAATTTCTTACAGTATCTATACATATTTCTCCTATTTTGACTTTTCTTCAACTAGTTATAGTTGATCTTTCAACTTGTTAGACTCATTTACCCATTCAATTATCATTATTTTTCATACATAAAGTGTTTTCACATTCTATTTATCATAAAAAGTAAAATTTGCGTCTATTTTTTTCAAATAACATGTAAGAGTCGGTCGCCCCGCACCGTACCCCGTCCCGCCCCATCGTCATCACTATGATATTCTAAAGTTTTCAAAATATTTCAAATGTGTATTTACAGTAGCTAAATTAATTGTTAAAATTTAATTGAAATAATCTAAATGTGAAAATCAAAATACGAAACACCAAAGAAATACTTATGAAATAGTTAGTGGGCTAGTTAACCATAGTGAAAAAGTCGTGTTTTTAAGACTTTAGGTTTGTGTACGTTTTTAGTTTAAAAAGATAATAAAATTTTTGTAGTATAATTGTTAATGATTCATATTATTGTTTAAAGAGACCATTGTTCAAATATTAGGAACAATGTATTTTTTTCCTACGAATAAGACAAATCTACACTTTTTACTTTTACTCGATCTAGTTGAAAGAAATTTGAAATGATGAAAAACTCCTATGAACCTACTATTATATATTTGTGGATATTAGATGTTGACGGAATGATGGAGTTGTGATACGATTTTGCTTTTGAAATTTTGATAATCACTTATATTAATAGCTATGATTCATAGTAGAGAAGTTATGTATTTTTGTAACTCTCAATATGAATTGTTGCAGCAAGTATTTGTTCTTGACATAAAAATGTGTTCTGATCTATAATCACTTTTATCTCTAAGAGCTAAATCCACCTATAAGTGATGATGTGTTGAGTTATTTTGACAAACTGAATATTGATTTGATCGTGTTTTTAAATTCTGCAAATCTCTAGTATTGATTGTTTGATGTAAGTATACGTTATGATGGATCGAGTTTTCGAGACGAATCATCACATGGTTGTGTTTTCAAATTTTAGTAACCCCTACCTTTAACAAATTGATTTTTTTTTAAATTATGATGGATTTCTGTAAATTGATTTCATTTGATGAGATAAATAAGAAAAAGACATACAATGTAATTCCTTGTCCTACCATATGTGAGTATATTGGTTCTTGATAATATATGTTCTTGTATTCAACTTTTGATAACTACTAAATATTAATGGATTAGTTTAACTTCAAGTTCACTAATGCAAATTGTTTTTTTATTGAGTGTAATACACTATCACCTTTTTCAACAATACGAAGTGTTATGTTACCATGGAAATTATTATGACCAAAAAAAAAAAAAAAACCTGCGACAATTGGCAACACAATCTTTTTTACAGTTCCACTGATTCCTTGACTGATTCCTTGTTTGCTCTTATATCTCTTCTTCTTCAGGAGGCATGAAATAGTGTATCCACCAGGGAAGCTAGAGAAGCCATATGAAAAGCTTCTCCGAGCCGATCAAAGGCTCTTTCAACTAAGCCGCAACCCATTTCCCAGTCTCCAAGATCCTTGCTTTCCACCTCTGCCTGACTTCTGTCCCGGTTTCAACCCGACCCTCAACCTGGTCATCAACCCGGTTCTGTACCCAAACCCTCAGCAGCACTCCCAGCTTTCCTCTCCATCCCCAATTTCAGGTATTAACAAATAACAATGTAGCAAAAGCTCCTTCCTTTTCTCCTTACCACTTTCTTCTAAAGATAACATACTATTCATTTTCCCCCATTTAGATCTGCAAATGACCAACAATGCTGCAATGTGGGGTGAGATGCTGCCAGAGCCCAACCCGAATGTCGGGCTGGTTGCCTCCATGGGGAACCAGTACTTTGGCACCAGAGAGAAGTTATTATGATTCCAGCTCAGGAGCTTCTTTATCAGATGGGCATATCAACAGCAACAACCTGTTTGATACTGAAATGAGCAGCAATCAATTCAGTGGGTCGGTATCGGACGGGTCACCCTTCTTCAGTTGATAAGAATTTCCTGATGATGCAAAGATTGGAAATCCTGGGGAATCTGGAGACTGGTCATGATGCTGACCTGGCGATTCGTCGCAACGAGATGTTCGACAACCAGCAGTAGCAGGGTTTTGTTCCAGATCCGGCTGCTGCTGGTTTGATTACAAGTGGGGAAATGTGTGCGCAGCAGCATCAGCATCAGCAGGTTTTGGTTCCGGATCGTGCTTCTACTGGTATGATTATGAGTGGTGGGCAAATGTATCAGCAGCAGCCATCAGGGTTTTATGATCCCTACCCTGTTGGAGGGATTGCTGGTACTGGGATGGTGCATTTCGACTTCTAAGAATGGATCTCGACCCGGTACAACAGTTTTAGGTAAAAGAAAGTTTTGAGAGTAGGGTTAGGTTCTGATGATTCTGCACATACCTTGCAGAAGCTTATTTTTTTTCCATTGTTAGGCCAATTTTGGTATGAGACTTCAGCCTTGGTTTTTCTTAGGTGTAGTAGGGGTTTAGGGAAAAGATTGGAACTTTACTAGGTTTTGCGCTTAGTTGGGGGCTGGGGGAATTGATGAATAAGGGCTCTTCAGAGATTCTCATGTTTTGTATCATGGAGAGTGAAGTGAGCAGATCTCTCGAATCTGATGCAGAAACTGAAACACAGCAGAATAAATGGAATTTCTTGTCAAGTTTTCTTACGGCAAAGGAAGGATATAGTAGTACCATAATCATACTAACAATTTTGAGTTATTGCAATAAATTGATATTCTATACGCTGATAGAGAGATCCTGTGTTTGAGTTTTGCCTAATAATAAGTACTAATTGTTAACTTATTTTGATGATAATAGCAGACCGTGAAAACTTCAACTCTATCAGTTGATTTAACATGAATAGTTTGGCTTATCAATTCACCCAAATTAATAGTGAGGACTGAGGGAGTCCCATATACTCTCATAGTCATTATTTACTTTACGAAATGACTACAATGCCAGTTATTCCATCATGTCATAAAACAAAAATCAAAGCCACCGTTCCTGTAAATGTGATTGAGCCAACATGTTTATAGATTCTCATTCAACTCATAAGTTTGCGCTTGACAATGAAAACTAAACTCTATGCAGAAAGACTAGAAACTATGTTTCTCAAGAAACATTCTACTGAAGAGAAGGGACCAATTCAATAAATTATTTGTTCTGCTAAATGGTCTCATTCGATTCTAAGTAAGGTTTAAAGTCTTTGAATGAGGAGATTTACTCGATCGATCATCGGCCGATTTTCTTGCAACTTCATTCGCAGCACCGCCTTTCTCATTGGTCATCTCGATGTGCCGCCTTTTCTTCGGATGTTTCAACATAGAGTTATCCTTCAGACTTGCTATCGTCAACTCCTCTTCTTTCTCTGCCTCTTTCTTGTTCTCTTTCTCCCTAGAAGCTTGTGGTTCAGGATTACTCGGAGGTGGAAACAACGGAGGCTCTTGGCCGCTTAATTTGCAGAACACTCTTTCAACCGTTTCACTTATTTCTTTCCCCAGGCCATTGTTGTCCAGAATCAATTCCCATACCGATTTCGAAGCCTTCTCGAGCACCGGAGTTCTACAAATGACAAGAAAATGAAAATGCAGCTAATTGGATCAGGTTGAGCTTTGAATGAATAGCATCAAGTACTGAAAAGGAAGGAGAAAATAACACGTATAGAGACACCTACTCAAGTTCTTGTCGAAGTGCATCGAATAGTTCCCTCTTGGTTTGTTTCTCTGCGCCAGGGGTATTTAAAACCTTACTCTGCTCGGCCATTTTGATGGTTGTATTCTTCAGCTCTTCCTGTGAAACAAAAAAAAAGAAGAAGAAAGAGTTAGAGCTACTTACACAATCAATTACTTTCAGAATTCAAAAAGTATGCAGAAGATGAAAAAGATGCAACAGTTCAAAAGGCTTAACTCGTAGGACACCCTGTTCTTCTAGCAAACAAAAGGTTTGATCCCGAAGAGACCATGGACAAGGGTTTCCAATATAAGTTAAGTTCTGATATAATGTTAAATCTTTAGAGAAAGAAATCATCGTGGTTTCTGTTATAAGTACCAATGAAATGCTAACTCTTTAGATCAAGAAAATCCTTGATACATTGCATTCACGGTTACTAAGCATGTAACGCTTCAATGTTCTGACAAATTTACCATTGTTCTTATTGACTCGAATCGACCACCAATCAAACAACCAACGTAACAAAAAGCTTAAGTCTTGATTGAAGCAATGAGCCTCCTGAGGATCGACAGCATTAACAAATATGCCATACGGGTTCAACAAACGAAATGATCGATCAACCGGGCCACGTGGACTCGAGAGGAGACCAGTGGTGTTGTTTACTTTTTCCTTTTCAATCATGAAACCACAAACTACAACTAATCACATTTTAACCCCACTTGCATAGCAGGGGGGAACAAGTTGATTCTCTTCATCACTATGAATCAACATAACCTGATTCTTTGGAACTCTTTCCTCTTCTCATCAACAGTAAGCAAATCCAAATTTCCAACCAAACATCAGCCAAACAGTAGCCATTCCCCAATTTCCATCCGAAATTTCAAATTTTACTAATAAATTCAAACAACACTAGTACGGGAAGGCAAACTGAAATTTAAGAGACAGAGAAAGAGAAAGAGAGATGGGGGTACATTGGCCTTGAGCTGATTGATGATCTTCAATCTCAGAGCATCAATTGTGCCGTCGTTCATCAGACATTCCAACACGTCCTCCGGAGATATCACCGACGACGAAGACGAAGAGGACGCTTCCATATTCCCCCCTGAGCAAAACCAGAAAATAAGAACCCTAGAAAGGATGAATTCGCTCCCTTTTCGTTCTTCACGACAATCTTCTTTCTCTTATCTATCGGCTTAATAGAAACAACAAATACCCAAGACGTGGTCTTGGGGAAAAGTAAGATTCAATTCCCTATCTTCAAAACCCATTGGAAAAAGGGGGCATAAGATCAACAGAAACCAGGAGGAAGGGAGAATTAGAACCTGCAAGAAAACTACGCGCCGAGACGAGCTGGGTCTGCCGCCGTAAACATCCAAAGCAGTGTGAAGAGAGTTCGCACAGAATTTATGAGGTAGACGACGAAAGGCGCCCCCTTTTGAACCCCCTTTGTTTTATTGGGCACCCCAGCTGCTGCTGCTGCTGCTGCCGCTGATTCTGCAGAGAATGGTGAAGATTGAAGAACAAGGGGAACTAACTAATCTGATTCCTCGCTCAAATCGCAACTGGTTGGAAAGACTCGTACGACGTCGTACAACTGGGGGAGAGGCTTCGGGGTTCTAAATAAATATATGTATTTTCAATTTCATAAACTAAAAATTATAAAAATACAATTTATCAAGAAATTTACAATGTAACTAGAATTATCTAGGGGTCGTTTGGATGGATCAATTGTAAAACGAGACAATTTGAGCAATTGTTTCATTTTACAAAACGAGTCATTTAAAACGAGTCAATTCAGATTACCTGCCCCCACCCCAGACAATTGTAATTGGCTCAAAATGAGTCAATTCAGAATTCCCCAGCCCAAATTGCTTCATCCAAATTTTCTGCTGCCAAACGGATCAATCTGGCACAATTGACTCAAAACGAAACAATTGTGTCAGATTGATCCATTAGAATTCCTCATCCAAACGACCCCCTAGAAAAATATGACTCTATAGTAATTTTTTTATTTGTTTTCTTTTTAAGTTCAAGTCTAGTATAAGTTCATTTTGAAGTTTCCTCATTGGGCTTAAAATCTCATATTGGGTTCTCTAATTGCAACAAGTAGTCTAAAGACTGGATGTGGGTTTAAATATTTCTTTTCGCGTGACCACTTCCAAGAGTGTTGAATCATCATCTCATGCATCCTCGATCGAACTCTTAATGAAGCCAACCACAATTGCTTCTAAACTTTGTGCCTCGATATATACATCATTTTCACCTAGATACTCAAACAACTGATTTACATCAATTTTGATATGATAAACCATACAATTAGAATTAAATTAATCATATACTCAAATTCATTTACTTCTTGTTCAAAATTTATGCACTTGAGCCGACTTCATCCCTTAAACATATTTAAACGTTTAAGATAATACAATGAGATAACACAATGAATCGTAAAAGTTAAGTTTATCAAAATATAAAAAAATATTTTTACTAAATAAAATTAACACACACGATATATAAATCTTATTTTAGGAGTATAAATTCATTTATGTTAACTATATACATTATAAAAAAAATATTTTTGAATTAATAAATTGTTAATTTATCAATTAATTAATAAATTGTTATGGTCTCAACTTTATTAATTTATAGAGGTTCACAACATGATCAATATTTCAGTACAGTATCACCTATCCAACAACAATAAATTACTCTCTTCCTTGGAATCTTCCCAAATCATTGGGACCATCTCCCTCCTGCCAGCTTATCACTGCTATTGTCTTTCAAAAGGGTTCATTGGTATTCTTCATCTTTATCCAATGAAGATGAAAGATAGCTCAAGATGAAGCCGTCTAGCTCTCCTTCAAGCACTGAATCAGGGTTAGAAACCTCGTGGCTGGTTCGAAGATCCTTGACCATACGGTATGGCTGGAGAGAAACGCAGAGCAAGCCAAAACTGTTAAATTCATTCAGCCAACCAAAACAACAGTGAAAGTTCTCTACAAACATACCAGTAATGCATGGAAGTTTAAGAAATGGTTCTTTGATCACTTACATGAAGGACGTAAGTGCGAATTTGATTGCCCCAGCTGATTTCCGTCAATGATTGAGTGTGCTGAGCATTCACCTGGGCCTGCCGAGCCATCTCGAGCTGGTCCAGCCGCGACTGAAGCACTGACATTGCTGATGCCTTGTTCATATGCTGTGATCTGTAGTGAATACCCCCCACACAGAATTATTTCAACATTTGGAGCATAAGGAGAACTTAGGGACATAACCCTGACAATATCTAAAGGTAATAACTGGAGCTTAGGTCGATAAGAAGTTTCACCTTTCGTTCTGACATGTGGCAGTTACCCCAGTTGGAATATGAACTATCCTCACAGCACTGTCAGTCGTGTTAACACTTTGCCCACCAGCTCCTCCAGATCGAAACCGTTCAATTCGTAAGTCGGATTCGTTGATCTGAACATGTGTGAACCCTTCACCAAGAATTGGGATCACAGCAACTGCTGCAAACGACGTGTGCCGCCTTTTACTGCTGTCGAAAGGCGAGATTCGCACCAGCCTGTGGACTCCTACTTCTGCTTTTGCATAGCCAAATGCATATTAACCATCTAGTCTGATGGGTGCCCGCTGAAAGTAGCAAAAGAAATATCAAATTTAGACATGTTTGGTTAACGGGAGATAACTCGGCAAAAATAGTCATGGAACTTCATGGAGTTGAAACACTAGGAATATGAAGAAAATGATAATGAATGACAAGGTAAAGAAAATCGAATAATTTGACATTTGTTATACACTCATTTTGAAGGTGTGAGTTCTTATTGAACAGTACGAGCTACCGGAGGATCATACACCAGTATCCCCAAAGTGACTCATACATGGGCAGGTATGCAAAAACCTTATCTGTTCGGGGGATGGGCAGAATACCAATTTTGAGAACCGGGATGGTAACGAGGATAGAGATATCTTTCTCAGACCTACCCAATTATTATCCCTACTAAAGAGCAGAAATTCATAAGAGCTACAAGATTGTGTGCTTCTGTAATCAGAGAAAGATGATAAAGATGATATAACCTTGATTCCTGCCATCTCACCAGACATCTCGTCGACCAATGTCACTCTAAACCCTCGGCGTTGAGCCCATAGTTTATACATCTGCATCACCATTTTCGCCCAGTCCTTGCTCTCAGTACCACCAGCTCCAGCTTGAACCTATTTTCATGCATCAAGAAATAAAGACACAAGCTTTAAGCAATGAAAGTTCCATAAACAGACGTTTATCATACAGCAGAGCAATTTGGACAGTAACATATCAGTAAATTGGAGAGCTACCTCGATGTAACATGAGCAAGAATCATGCTCTGCGGATAACAAAGCTTCTAGCTCTTTCTCTTTGGAATTTCTTCTCATCTCAAGCATGGCTTTCAATGATTCCTGCAGAGCAAACAAGTAGTCAATTCATTGATCATGCTAAAGTTACACATGATATCTCCCATCTCGGTTCAAATTACAATTTGGTCACATATCATGTTCATGTGTATCACAATAAGCATTAAGACAATTAAAAAAACGAAATCTCCCTACGACGACTTCATTAGCATTATCTGTTTCCCAGAATCAACAACATAATGACGAAAACTGATGGGAAAACAACAATGATAAGATGAAATATTAGGATGATTTTGGTGCTTAGTTGTCTCGATCTTGAATTCAGCGTCCAATGTGAGATATATAATTTGGGTATGTAACCAAATTGGTATTTAACCCGTTCCATCTTAATAGCAGCCAACCCTTCTGTTCAATAGTTCAAGGCCAACATTTAAAGCTAAGCAAGAGATAATCAGGTTCTCAGTATATTGTCCCGGTACGAGTTCTACCAAGTAATTTGCTCATCAGGGCACAAGGAAAAAGAGTACATGCCTAAACAACAAGAAGCAAGGTTTCCCACCAATTCCAAGTCGGAGTCCTCCGCTTCTTCACGAGCCAACTTTATCATATCAATGTGCTCAATCAAATCTTGCTCCAATGCTTTCACCTCTTTCATCTTACCCATCATCGAGCCATGCTCGCGGCTTAACTTTCCAGCAAGTACATGATCATCCCATAGGTTTGGCTTATTCAGCTGTGCTGATAGCAGATCTAATCTAACCATCAACTTATTCCACTGCCACACATTACAATCATGTATCAAATACAATATAAAAACAACTAGAAATCATGCAGAAATTGACAGCCAGGGTCCTAGAAATGAACTGAAATTTCAGCCACTCCAGAAAAAAGGGATGCTTTGCAAAACGGATTGTTCAAGTACATAGATTATTAAGAATGTGCAGGTTTCGAAATGGTCAGGTTGTGAGGATATATTGCTTTTGGATGAGCAGCAATCCATAAGATGATGAATTTCGGACAACAATCCACCCATTCCATGATCCAAATGACCCCTGACAAGTTCAATTTAAATTGAACCATGGACTGAATAATTGCATTCTGAATTTCTAGAACCTAATAACAGCCGTTACCTGCAACCGCTTCTTGATGACTTGAATGGACTGGGCAATAGCAGCAGCATGGCTCTTCCAATCACTCTCACTTTCATCAAGAATGGCCCAGTTACTAGCAACAATTCTATCAACAGTCAAGCCATCGGAAGTAGACAGCTCCGCAGCTGCTGCCGCATGTGTACTAAGACTAGGAAAAACCCTCCTCCGGAACTGAAGCTCTCTATTCAAGACGCTGTTTGAAGAGAAGCACAGGACCTGGTGATTCTTCCTTACAGATTGTGAAGAGTGAAGCTTTGAAGAATGGAGGAGTGCGTTCTGTGGCTCGGGTTGAAGAGGGCAGAGAAAGGAAGCTGCGAGGAGACTCTTGGAACAGATCCTAGATCTTCTGAGCGCCAAAGCTGACATCTTTCGGCCCTTGGTTTCCTAATCGACGGAGATCGAAGGCATTCGAGGCTTTTCTGCTCTATTCCCATTCCCAACAGAACCTCGAACTCGACTTCTAGGTTCTGCCGCCAATTCCAAGGGATTTCAAGTTCTGATTCTTCAGCTGCTTGATGATCGGAGAATTCAAGCTGAAACCTTTCCCCTTTCTTCCCCGATCCAATTTGACGAAGGAGTAATGAGCTAACGACTAACGAGTTTTCCTCTCCAGGGTTTAACAGGGGAGTTGAGTTGAACAAGCCGCGAGGGTTTAATGGGGAAAGGAAGCAATAAACGACAGCGTCCCCGGCCGCCGTCAGAACCAATGAACAAAAGCCCTGCTATAAAACCTCTTTTCTCTTAGTCCACCAACAGCGCCCTCCTCTCCGTTTCGTGCTCCGGCCATGGCGAACCCTAATTCGCTCTGCTTGATCCTCCTCCTCTCTTCTCTCGCCCTCGCCTCTGCCACCGTCTTCTTCGAAAAGAAATTCGAAGGTATCATCGTTGTCTCCCTTTTGAGATCTCGATGTTTTTTTTATTCCTGCGCGTTGCGATCACTTCTCTGCTTGTTAGCTTTAGCTTGGGTTTCAGTTGATGGAAGTGTCTCATTGTGTGGCTTTAGAGGATAGTTCGCCTCGGGATCAGGCTTAGTAATCATCGTTTTGAGTGGATAATGCCATTGCCGGCGAATGTTAGAATTGTTTGGATCTGGTCGTTACTGCTTGAATTTGGATTGCTAGCGAGTGATGAACTCGGAGCGGATCGGTGTTTGTTTAGATCTGCGAATAGATGACTGGATTACCTAGCTAGTTGAACGGTTGCCCTTAGTGCAAACTTGCGTTAGTTGATTGTTTGGCCTCGGATCGAGCTGTAAGATAATGAGTGATATTGACTGCGAACTGATCATCGTCAATCGAGTTGCAACTTGCAAGCAATGTTAACAAAGTGTTATTCATTTATCTGTTAATGATTTTTCGGTTGGTTGTGATTGTTAATTCGGACAAATTATAGATGAATTTTGTCAACTTCAAACATTTTAAATTATGAAATGACCTTTTAAATCTTGTTTAAATGTACAATAGTTTGCTCCAATCACATTTTAAACGATTCGTGAGTGACCTGTCAAGGTACAGAGACTAGTTGATTTACAAGTTTAATCGATAACTGATTTTTGTAGGTTTGATTCAAGATTAACCCTACCGGGCTACATCGTGCGGGGGAAATATCCAACGAACAAACGTTGAGGACCAAACCATCACTAGACAGCTAGCCAATTGGCCAACGGCACACTTGGCCAACCAATTTCTTAAGAATCAAACCTCTTAACTAACGAACTACATCTCTCTTCCCGCAAAAACCCTTCTTCCTCGTCTCCAGGAAACCCCTCTTCTCCTTCTTCCTTCACATAATCCCCGCCATTAAAATGTCAACTTTCACCAACAACCCTTCTGAGCTTTCCCCTTCTATTTCCCTCCAAAACTACCCTAAACCCTTATCCCCACCTCTTCCCGCCATCTCCAAGGAGATAGAGCTCGCCAGAGCCATGTCCGCCTCTTCAAGATCCAGCCTTTTCTCCTTGTCAGCGTCTGAAGTCTTGTTTGAAGATCAATGGCTGATGGCCGTCAATAAACCTCAAGGAATTTAGCCGTCTTGACATCCGTCCCAGCCCTTCTCCTTTCCCGCTCAAAAACCGCCGCAGTCGTACCGGCCATTGGTAAATCATTATCTGTCTCGTCCTATGCAATTGAAGTTTCCTATTTCATGTTTAGTTATTGTGAACAATTTTTCCCCTTAACACTACCATGAATTTGAATTCCGCGCTTCAAAACTAGATGTTTGTGTTGCAGATAATACAAAGGGATCCCCGGAGCTCCACCTGGCGAATCGGCTCGATCGGGACACGAGCGGAGTGATGATCATCACCAAGTCGCACAAGGTAGCCGCTAAGCTAGTCAAGGCATTTACATTGCTTCTTATGCTTCATCAGAATCATCCATGTAAGTCTCCTTTGAGTCCTGAAACATAAGAAGCAAAACAATCCAAAGCATCCAAGTTTGATTCATAATTATTGCTCAATAGATGAGCATATAGAAGTTTATTTAGATAGATGTGCAACAATGCTCTCCCACAACTTGTCTCTGAGATTGAATGGAGGAAGGAAGCTGAAGACGATACCAGTGAAGACTTCGCCTAATCCTCGTTTAAGTCAGGACTGCTTTATGGGCTGGACTATTATCACCACGTGGGCTGAGATATAAGGTCGAGTAGAGGCCCAACAATCTCCCCCTTCGTCAAAGCTTCCTTTGAGTCCTGAAACATAAGAAGCAAAACAATACAAAGCATCAAAGTTTGATTCATAATTATTGCTCAATAGATGAACAGATAGAAGTTTATTTAGATAGATGTGCAGCCATGCTCTCCCACAGCTGGTCATTTCACAGGATTTATTCAACTCGTACGTTCCCATCTTCCCCCTAAGATGATCAAGAGAACTCCCCCTTTATTGGAGAATCAAAGCTTGTTACTACAAATCAACAAACAGTCTTGATCTTCAAGAACTAGATGAGTAGATAATCTGGAGGGTATATTCATTCTAAACCAGAAATATACAAGACACAAGAACATGGATAATCATAATCATAACATTTTTAAAGGAGCATTAATAATCACAATTCTGAAACATCCGACATCAAAGCACAGCTTATTACAGCTTATAATCCAAAGAGACATCCAAATAAAGGCTTGTCACGGCAACAGAAATAGATTGATGCTCCCCCTAAGCCAGTGCATTAGGAGCTTGAGCCACAATATAATCATTCAATGCACAAATTGTGCTCAAAAGACCACAAAATAAATTGCATATGTCTAGCTTTTATTAAAATCACATGCATCTAGGCGTACATCTAAAATCCCTCCTCCCCCTTGATTTTCATCAAAGAGAATCGACCCAGTATCTTAGGACCAAACACGAATCAAACATAAAAGAAAATCAATGCAGACCAATTGAGGATCCATTCACGGACGGAGAACTGATCGACACAATATCTTAGGGCCAAACCTATCAAAGGAGTTGTGGCCAAAGTTGGAGTGTCAAATGTTTAAACAACTAAAATTAATACCCGCGGCTACGCTGCAGGAACTAAAGTTGCAATAACATGATCATATGATGCCAAGTTTATGTAACAGCAAAGGGGGATCGTTGTACTACAGGCAACAGTGTGGATTTGGATGTTTTGAAAGTGTGTGCAATAGACTTGTATCTTGAGCTCTATAGTCAATCAGCATAGGAATATAGTCTACGTCACAACAGCATGAGAGGCTACAGCTGTAGAAATTCAATCCCACCGAAAATTTTGTACCATCATTTTAATGGGTTCATGATTAACTGCTGAAAAGATATAGGCAACATTGAATAATAATCTTCAGATTGATCCAATGAATAGCCAAATAATAAGCATACACTAAGAGTTTCTTACCAAATCCAACTTGTTGACATAGTTCTACTCGAGACTTGGGAGATACTAACTCAAAGCAATGTCTTAAGAGTTCCCTACCGAATCCAACTTGTTGACATAGTTCTACTCAACATATACAAACTCAGGGCTATATCTAAGACTTTCCTACTGAAACCTTAAAAACCTCTGAAGGTTCTACCATGCATATCAACATGTCCTTTTTTTCTCGACAAATTTGCAGCAACATATACTTATAGTTTTGCATATCCGAGTTCAACCTCGGATCTCTTCACCTATTCTTTCTCTGCTTGTCCTTCCATCTGCAATCTCCACCTTCCTGCTAACCTTCTTGGCTTGCATAATCTCATAAATCTCCACCTTCCTACTGACCTCCTCGACTTCACATATAATGGCTTCAATCCAAGTATGGAAAAATATAACCTCATTGATTCAGTAGTAGCAGGAAAATAGTTGCTTGAGCTAATACTCTGATGAATAAGACATATGTAATTCAAGTACTCTGATCCAAGAGTGGTAAAGATAAAGTTACTTATACATACTGGCATCTCACATGAGATACTGGCATCTCACATGAGATCTTCACACGTAGAAAAGGCAAGGAATTTGGCGATCGAGCAGGCAATACACGATGCAATGCAGCAAGGGATATCAGCAAAAGATGTTGCTAAGCAAGCGCAAAAGGAAGGCGCAAAGGCAGCTAAGTTAGCCACTAGAAAAGCCAAAAGGATCGTAGGGCCTATCATTTCTTCGGGTTGGGATTTCTTCGAGGAGGTCTACTATGGTGGGACCATAACTGAAGGGTTCCTAAGGGGTACTGGGACCTTGTTTGGAGCGTATGCAGGCAGGTTTTATGGGGAGCAAGGGATTGGAAGAGTTGGGTATCTGGTTGGGAGTGAGTTGGGCAGTTGGATTGGAGGGAGCATTGGGTTGATGGTGTATGATGTGGTGAATGGATTGCATTACTTGGTCACTGCTGTTGAACCATAGATGGTCTGGCCAGACTGGGAATCGCGAAAAGGATGATGCTGGTGAGTCATACTCGTATGAAGATCCACCTGCGTACGAAAGTAATGAGGATGCGAGTGCTCATCTATGAAAATTCTGAATCAAAATCGTATGGCTCACCCTCGTGTTTCTGGTGATAATACAAAGTATAATGGTAGATCATGGCTTGTGAAACCTGTTGTTCAGAGACGGACCTATACGAGAAATGTTTTTGTAAATAGATGTAAGGTTTGGATATACTTTTGTTAGTGGAAGTGGTAGTTTACTTGATTTGAGTATTGGATAGGCAGAGGCGGAAAAATTCCAAAAGTTCCACTATTTTTTTAAAAAAATCCAAAAATACCACTCAACCCCAAAAAATTCCAAAAATACCACCCTTTTTAAAAAACCGTCACCCACCCTGCGATTTACACGAAAACAAGGCGGCGCGGTTTTCTATGCAAACCGCTGGGCTAAGGGGCGGTTATAAAAACTGCTGGTTGGGGCGGCGATTTTGGGCCAAACCGCCACCCAACCCAGCAGTTTGGTCCGATTTTTTTTTCCCGATCAACTCCTAACTTCGGCCGAAACTTCAAACGAACGTAACTTTGCACTCGGGTATCCGATCGTAGCAATTTTTTTTCATTTCGCATAACTTTTCGAGTGCAAAGTTACGTTCGTTTGAAAAGTAAATAATAGGGGAAAAGAAACGAGAGGAAGATAAACACAAAGGGGAAGGCGTGGCGCTTGATCAATAGGAGGGAAGGGAGTTGAAGCGCGGGTGGAGGAAATCAGGGGGCAGGCGCACGCTGCGGGAATGGATTGTTAGCGAGGCGCATGCTTCCGAAGGAAAGAATGGAAAGAAGGCGTGCATAATGGACCGCGGAGGCGCTTAGTGGGACACTTAGGGAAGTTAGGCCCCTATTGGGTGGTAGGCGCCTAAATGGGGGGCAATTGTTGGGGGCATATAAGGGCCCAAGAAGGAAGCCCAGAAGGCCGGATTGGGCCTGGAATGTGGGCCCAGCGAAGGGAAAACCCAACCCAAAAGTGGCCTTAGGCTATAACCTAGGCGGTGGTACCGAGCCTGACGTAGGGCGCATGTAGGGGTGCTAACGGTACGGTAAACAATTTACCGGTTATCGTTTATCCGGTTTCGGGTATACCGGATTCCCCATTTCAGCCGCCGTTAGCCGATACCGAATTATTTTGGTATACCGCCAGCCGAACTAGGACGGTCTCAGTTAGGGAAACGATGACATGAAATCTCGAAAGCATCATCATGTCATGTCTGTCTGACTGTCTCATTTGAAATTCGTTGAGTGAAAGTGACAAGTGACAACGTGTCCCGTCCTCGAAGCACAAAGCGTCAAAGCCTTTTTTTTATAACAAAAATCTGCTGCTCTTTGGCCTTTGCCTCCTTTTAGTTTTTACGCAAAAGAAGAAGACAAAAATGAAATACCATTTACCAATGCAGTAGGATGCAGGCTGTAGTACCAAGACAATGAGGAAAAGGCTTTGTAGTTTGTACTGCTAATCTACTACTACTAGTCTACTATGCAGGCTGTTCACTGTTGGCACTTGGCTGGTCGGCTAATGGAAAAAAAACTGTAATCCAACAAGTGAATTCCGAATAGCAAATACCAAAAAATGAAGATAAAAAATAGCATTATAGTTTTATAATAGTAAGTACTACGTAGCTATAATTCCAAAGGGAACAGTCTGGCATGCTTCTTCTAAATGTTTGAAGTTCAAAAAAATGACGATAAAAAATAAAATCACTAGTTCCTCACTTGCCACTAGGACCTGTACCACCAACATCAACAAAACCTTGTTGCTTCAAAGTGGTGCGAAGGTTATCATCACCATCATCCTCCTCATCTTGATCTTCCTCGTCCTCGTCTGAATCTTCCTGCTCTTCATCTTTCTCCTTCTCCTCCAGCACAACAGGTAAACTTTGTTTGTCACCTTCACTTGGCATGATAGTAGCACTTTCCATTCGAGCTTGGAAGTTAGTAGTGACTAAGTATATAAAAAATACAAATTGTTAGAATTCATCTTATAATATATTATTGGGAAATGAGTAAAGGAATACTTAAAAATAAATTAAATTGTGAATTCTGATTTCTTACCACTTTCATAATCGATTTGGTCTTGATTTTCATCTTCTTTATCATCAACTTTTTATGCTTTCTTCCCTCCTTCAAACCTTATCCAATCTTCAGCAGAAATCAAGGCCTCTACAATGATGGGGCTCAAAGAAGACCTAAACGGGCTGAGCACTTGACCTCCACAACTGAAAGCGGCCTTTGATGCAACAGAGGAGACTGGAACAACTAGGAATCCTTAACCATCTGGGAAAGAATAGGATATCTAACTTCGTTCTTACTCCACCACACAAGATGTCAAACTTCATATCATTATCATCCTCGTTAATAGCATCATTAGCATCTCTTAAGTAGATGTCTAGCTCAGAAAAACCTCGAATCCCCATATGAAGTTGCTCCTTTCTCATCTTCTTGAATTCAGCATCAAATGTCCCTCCATAAGATGCAGATCCAGTACCATCATCAACACTGGAGTGGCCTGAACAGTAGGCTCGGAGGGTTGAGGTGCATACTTCAATCTGTAAACCTCAAACATTGCAGTCATCTCTGCAGTCACATCTTTCACCAAATCATCTCATTTCTTCTTCCCATACATCTTACCCCACATCCAAGACAAATAAGCCATTTTACGCCTAGGATCTAGCACACAAGCCATGTAAACCAGTCTATTTATCCTTAGGTTCTCCACCTCATCATCATCATCATTCTCAAACCAATACTTTCGTACCTTTGCCTCCATTCTTTCTGCCATCCGATGTATCTCTACATCTATGTCTTTCTTAAAAAGTTCTATCACTTCATAGATGTCAGCAATGACCTTGAAGAAAGTATGAGCAGTCACATCAGATGTTCCTAATACATCAAAAAATAACAACAAATTATTCACATATTACAAGTTAATAAAAGTAAAAACCATGAATTTGAATAGGTGGAGTTCTGTTCACATACCCGATACCCGTAAGGTGAGCTCGTACAAGAACTTCAAATACTTCATTAGCCGCCGAATACTGCTCTAATCTTCCTTAGTTGGAGGACCTCTCTTTGAGTCCACATAATCCCGAAATGCAGAATCATTGGGGCTCGCATGCAAGAAGTTAAAAACAAGCTCAAACCTTTCAGCAGATTCCAACATCAAATAAGTTGAGTTCCACCTAGTTGGAACATCCAAAAATACAAGTCTTCTTCCATCCATTTGTAGATATTCAATGGCAGATTTGAACTTTGCACTTCTACCTGGTGATGACTTCACCCATTTCACACAATCTCGAACCCTTTCTACAGCAACTCCAACCTCCTTCAACCCATCTGACACAACCAAATTGATTATATGTGCCACACATCGAAATTGCAAATACTTCCCACCAAGCAAATCTGTTTCCCACTCTTTCATCTTTGTTCTCATGCACTCTACAAAAACATCATTAGAAGAAGCATTATCCATGGTAATGGAGAACAAATGTTGTGCTTTCCAATCTTGTAGACATTCTGCCAATTTTTCTGCAATATCCTTCCCACTGTGACTAGTGATGGGAACAAAGCTAATGATCCTCTTCTGCAGCTTCCAGTCACTCCCGATGAAATGAGCAGTTACACACATGAAGTTCTGGTTGTTATCAAAGGTCCATGTATATGTGGTGATAGAAATTCTTCCTTTGCACTTGGATTTGAAGAACTCAGATAACAACTCTTTTTTCTCCAAAAAGATTATATAACAATCCTACTTTATTGTCTTTCTTCCAGGTATCACAAACAATGGTTGGGTTACCGCCATAAATCTCTTAAACCCTTCATGCTCAACAAAGCGAAATGGCAGCTCATCCAAGATGATCATTACAGCTAATGCAGTTCTAGCTTTTTGTTGATCAAACTTCCATGGAGTAAGAGAGCCTACCTCACCATCCCCAGACTGATAATTAAATAGTGATTGACCATTGGCTGCCTTCCTCTTTCTCTCGCATGCCAAGTGATGGTTCTTCAAACCAGTAGTCTCGTTATTGATCGAGTGAGCTTTAATCAAAGTTCCACACTGTTTGCATTTACCATATGGGTAGTCATCCACCAGAACCTCATCATAAGGATCCCACCACGGGGATCTCTTCTTCCTTCCCGGACCCTTCACATTTTTCTTTGGCTCACCCACTCCATCTGCTAGCGTAGCACTGCAGGTGTTGCAGTAGCAGTAGCAGGTGTAGATTCAATGCCTGTGGTAGGTGTAGGTGTACTAGATGAGACATTCCCTTGAATCCCTTCTACAACTCCAACACGAGTACCCAATTTTTTGGAAGTGGTTTGAGGAGGAACTAAACCACTTTCTTTTCGGATCATCTCCTTTAAGAGGACGAGAAGGTTTTGTCCTATAACAAAAAGTAAAAAATCATTAAAATGTCATTGCCAACATGTCAAAAAACAAAAACCACCCCTTGTTTTTCACTTTACTATATATTGCTTCTGCCTTCTGCTTCCGCTGCAAGCCTAAAAAATGAACAAAAGTACAAATTACAAAACAAAGTAATTATTAATATATTGCTTCTGCCAAACTCGAAAATCTGATGCTTCTCTGCTCGGCAACAGCCTACAAGAGACTACGACAGTCGACAAATGAAAAATCCATGGACCATGGTAATGGCAAAAATCGAAATAGATTAACATTATCAAACTGAAATAATTGAATACGTACTATACTAAACCAGTTACCTTTCAAATCGACGGAGAGTCGGGGAGGGCGAGCTGATGGGCTGTGCAATCGAGCGATTAACCTCAGACGGCGACGAGGTTCGACGCAAACAGGGCAACAACGAAGGGACTTGACGAAAAGTAACAAAAAAGAGCCTGTTGGGTCGTGTCTCTTGGTCGGAGCTTGCGCCAGCGACGAGGGCGACGAAGATACTACCGCCTACCAGTTTCAATCGACGACGACGGGGTTCGACGGAAACAGGGCAACGGCGAAAGGCCTTGCCGGAAACAGAGCCTGACGAAGAGGATGACGACTGCTAGACTGTGTCGTGTCTGTCTCTTGGATGGAGCTTGATAGCTTGTTGTCGGTGACAGAGACGACGAAGCTACTGTCGGGTTGGATGAACGGAGGAGTGATCGGCAGACGACAATCGTGCACTCATTCTCGTGAAGCAGGGTAGGGCAGCAGGGGAAATAAAGCGCGATGCAAATATAGTCTAAGGTTAATTGCTTAGGGCTTCTGTTTGGACTTTTGAGTTGCCGACGTTTGGGTTTGGCGATTGCTTAGTGCTTACTCCAATTCGGTATCGGAATACTGCTCGGCCGACGGTATTTTAGCAGTCCGAGCTAGGTACGCCGTTAGCCCAAAAATCCCAGCCGATTACCGTTTGATTCGGTTAACGGGTTAACCGATAACCGTTCCCGGTACGGTTATCGGTTAACACGTTAATCGCATTACCGGTTAGCAGCCCAGACGCATGACGACAAAAGTGGCAACGGTCAAAAGCGTACGGAGGGGACAGGAAGTGGGGCAATGCGCCTTGGGGCCCTGGGCAAAGTGTCAGAGTGTTGGGGCGCCTGGCAAGGGTGAGATATAGTGCATTTAATGGTGTGATGACGTGGGGCGGATTTGGGGGGCAGTGGTCGACCCCTATCCTGGGTATAAATAGTGAAGTTGGTGTAGCTCATTTACTCATGTTAGAACTTCTCTCTAAAACTACACCCCGCTTCTCTCTCTAAAACGACCGTCCTAACTTGGGCGTCGGAGTGCTAACGAGCCCTAAAGTAGGGGCTCGGTGGGCGCCTTTGTGTGCAGGAGCAGGGCGTGCAACCGAAGTGAAGAGGGTGAAGAGGGGGCGCGTTGTCTTCTGAGGCGCAGGATTACTCGACACAAACAAGTATAAACTAATCAAACTCTATCATTTACTTTGTATTTGTGTTTCATACCCAATTCCAATTATGATAGGATTAAGAAATACCCATGAGCTTGGCAAAATAGTCATCCTTAACTCCTTCGTCCTAGCTTCCAATATCATTACAAGGATGCACATATTATGTGCAACCGAGATGCATGTAAGTTCGTCTTAAGGATGACATTTTCGACATGACCCGTTTTACCCTATTTGTTTGACTGATAAATTATGGTGTGGGGGCATGAGTATTCTTTTTGACATGGCATGTCCTAACCCAACCCATTTTTGCCTAAATAACGTGTAATTATACTCAAAATACGTATGATTTTACGTTCATTATCTCATATTTTAGCTATAGTAAAATTGTAAATAGGTGAGAACCTATAATTCTCGAATAATTTAATTACATGTAACATATTATAGTTTGTTTCTTGTTTTTTTATGAAAAAATAAATATTTATAATATTTTCCTTTAAATTACATATACATATGGGTCAACCTACTCCAACCCATGTCCCGCATGATAAATTAACTTGACCTAAACCTGATCTACCACACGACGAATATGGGTATCGAGATACGTGTCATATGCCGATCACCATTCCTACTTGGCCTAACATATTAGTGGGCTACAAACATCGACAACATAAAAGCAATGGAATCAATCAAACTCAACTCAATAGTTTGTTTGTAGTTGTATATACATAATATATGCTCACAGCTAGCTCACTGGTCCAAGAAAGAAGTGTTGGTTTGAAGATATATAGAATCCAATTCCTAAAGCAGCCCACCCCCACCTTTACTTCCTATATCACATACCCAAAATCCACCCTTCAGTTTCCTCCTTTGAACCATCAATCGGCGTAAGGAAAGAGAACCAAAACACTGGCTTCCATATCAGCACCGCCGATCCCTCTACTAACCCTTCTCCTCATAATCTTCTTCCTCCTCTACCTCTCCTCTTACTCCAACTACAAGCACCACATGAACCAGACGTTCATCAGCTTCAAGCTCGTCCTTCTGTTCGTTCCCGTGGCTATGATCTTCGCTGCTCAGCTTCTCCCCAAGTTCGAGAGGTTTGTTTTCCCACGCACCAAGGCGGAGTACTACGGCAGCTCGTCGTCGGCGGTGAAGAGGCGGCAGCTTGACCTGCCGTGGGGGATGGTGGCGGTGGTGGTGTTCCTTCTGCTCATGGTTTCTTTCCAGTCGTCTCTTCAGTCCATGTGGTCGCCGGTTGTGCGACGGTCCAGTTGAGTTGAGAGAGATTGGGATGACGTTGTACTGGTGGGTTTCTTTTTTCTGTTGTTGTTGTTGTACGGTTTTGGCGGCGCTGGGAATTTGGGACTGTTTACTATGAATAAAACAGTTGCAAAATCTCCCCTATGCTTATGAGTTTTGATTTTTGAAAATAAAATGAAGTGTGGTTTATGGAAATCTGCTGCGCATCTAATAGCTAATGACTAAGTTGTGCCAATTCGGACAAGTGGACAACAACAAGAGCAATTCTCATATTCACAAGATACTTATGTTACATATTGTAACAGAGTCACTAAAATTGGTTAGGAATTTCACTACAATGTGCAAGCTACAACCTAACGCTTCACTAAACTCTTTACATGTAATACTACTAACCGGTTTGTTACAGATCCGTAGTCGCTCAACGATGTTTAAGCCAAGCCAACTCTCCCAAAACCCTTCGAAATAGAGTTCCCTTCCACGACACTAAGCAGGAGTTGAGGAGTTCTTCAGTTTAGGGACTCTGAAGGAAGAAGTGAACAGATTCGGTGGCGATTCCACGATGATAACAGCATCATCATCATCTCCCTTTCTCTTCGAGCTTCTGCTACCCTGACCAAATGAAACCAGAAGGGATTTAGCCCAAGTTCAATAAAACTAACTTCATGAAACATATAGAATCATTGGCTCTTTAGCATGCATATATATATATATATATATCTTCCCATTTGGCCTCACATTCTCAGCATTTGACTCTTTCTTTACAGTTTTAACAGCCATGCCCTTACAGCTTCTCAACGCAGGAGTAGCAACTTGAGACTTCTTAAGACCTTCCAACTCTTGCGATAACTCGTGCACTCGAGCTTCCAGCTTCTCGATGGCCTCATCCTTCTCGGTGTTGGAAGATTGGAGCTGCTCTCTCAGCTCCGCGATGGTCCCATCCTTCTCACCATTGGAAGATTGGAGCTGCTCAGCCGTGGTGACAACTTGGACCAACTTATCATTAGCTTGATCGACTTCAGCTTGCTTCACCTTCAGCTTTTCGGTCAGCTTGCTTTCCAACATGTTGAATTGGTTCCATATGAAGGTTTTCTCCTTCGAGAGCATGGCGATCACAACATTCTTGTCAGAAACAAGCTTCTCGTACTTGAGCTTGAGCCTTTCAGATTCAGGGTCTGCTGCTGCTATCTTAGAGGTGGAAGATCTTGTTCGCCTACGTGATTCAGTGCCTTGATCTGGTTCGTCGGTCTCCTGCACGAAACATCATCCATCCATTTCTAAGATATCAAGCAATGAGACATGCTGAAGAATGCGAGGCAATACGCAATAGGCAACCTACTACTCACTTTCGAGCCAGCTGTGAGGAGGTCAAACAACATATTACTCACTTTCTAAGAGATCAAACAACATCAATTTGTAAGAGGTCAAACAACGAGAAATGCTGCAGAATGTGAGGCAATACGCAATAGACAACCTACTACTCACTTTCGAGCTAGCAGTGAGGAGGTCAAACAACGCCCTGAAATCTGCCAATTCATCTTCTGTTTCCTCTGCAACAATAAATGAAATGGAGGTAAGGCTGTTAGGATTGTGCCAAAACTAGACCACAATCTGTCAGAAAGTTCAATCATGCCACTTTCATTAGCTAAGAAATCACAGACTATAGTGCTGCAATTAAGGGAAAACTGTACATTTTCCCTCTCTACACCCTAACTTGATTTACTCTGACCATTAACCAACTGGACAATTACCAAGCATCAATCTAGCCAGGACGGTAAATGTACAATTTTGAAAATTTTCATATCCGTACGAAATCCCCCACAAGAAGCTTGAAAAGAAACGATAGGAGGCCAAGACTGACCTAATTTTCACTTAATCCTCAAACCCTAATTCAAAATTTTGAATTCAATATCCCCCAAACATTATGAAGAAGAAACTTTCCTGATTTCCATGCACCAAGTCACATAACCATCAACGAATAGCAAGCAAAAGAAGGGAAGCGATAACTGACCTAACTTCAGTTTACGGACCACAGCTTCTCTGTGCTTCAATCCCACCATCAACTCAGTTTTGGCAGCCTCCATTAATAGCTCCATCTCTTTCTCTTCCAGGCGTGACATGAGCTACTCCAAAATAAAACATAAACAAGCCCCGATTAGTCAACAAGTCGGATGAGCGGAAACCCTAAAAATTGGAATCGAATTGGGGGAAAACAGAGGAAAGAAAGCCTATTGAACAAACTTCGGAGATATGAGTTTCATAGAGTCGATGATTGGCAGTCCGTGCTTCCTGATGCTTCTTTATCCATTCTTCAAGAGATTTCCTCTGGCTGAGCAGAGTTTCGATCTGCTCTTGTTGATTCTTTAGCAATTTCACCAGCGGCGCATAAAACACTTTCCATTTCGCTACTTCCGATATGGACTCGGGACGCTTGGCGCCGCCCATTTGAGAGCTCGCCGACAAGTAGAAGAAAGATTGGAATTTGTTTGGTGTTTTGAGATAATTGCTTGATTGTTCGGTTGCAGAGATTTAACAATTGTGGGGGGACGAGACGAAAGAGGATCTCATCGGTCGGAAATAAGGTGAGCTTTTATTTCCCAAAACTTGTGATAAGAAGCGCGGGGTTCCTTTGTTTTCTGGATTTCAAATACCTTTGGGCTGGGCTTTATGTTGATAGAAGGTTGGGCCAAGTCATATATACTCGACCAAAAACATGTTTGGTTTATTTGATTCGATCTAATCCGATTCCAAATTTAATTTTGATCTATTTTTTAATTATACTTAATAATAATTTAGAGGAACAAAATATGAATTAATAAATATTCAATCCAATATTCAATCGCATATCATATAGCATTTACTAACATAAATATCAATTCAATACGATAGGATCCGATGTGAACAGGATCGTTCCTCACCCTCATTGTGCACCATCCCATCCAACATGCATATCACCATTAAGGTGTCATTTTCTTGAGAGTCTGGTTGATATTCTTTATATTACACGGATCATCAAGGTGTTCCAATCGCAACTGATTTACAAAAAGACTTGTGATGTTCAAGCAAATTCGGTTTCTCTATTTCACAACACATAGTCAGATATGTAAAATAGAATTTATATTACGAAAACGAAATCATATAGTACAACTAGTATAAGCTCGTTTGTTATCACTTGACACTTGGTATGTTAGCTAGAAGATAATATTTTAAAGAGTAGCAGTGAAAGTGTAGTTTGTTGTTTGGATTGGCAGTGGTTAGTTTAATCGAACGAGGAAATGAAATTGTTATGAATATTGTGAATTTTTTCTAGAGTGCAATAGATTGTTGAAATATCGGGAAGACGAAATTAACAATGCCAAAAATTCGTTTGATCATGGGAAACACTGCAGGAGGACAAATAATGATTTCACGCACAGTGTTTCGAGATGGGTTGTGAATGGGGGGGGGGGGGTTGAATGCGAGGATTGGACAGAGCATATATTGTATGGATCTTCGGTAGCGGTCGTGGCAAACATTGGAGGGGGATAACATAGGATTTCACCGACAATGCTTCAAAATGGGTTGCGAATTGGTGGGTGAATCAACAGTCAATAGATGAAAACTCTGTGGATAATAGTTGTCACGGGGAAACAATTGAACAATAGCTAGAAACCTAGAGGATAATAACTCCATGTTTCGAGATGAGCTGTGAATTGGTGGGCGAATGCTAGGATTGGACATAGCAGATCTTGTATGGATCTTCAGTAGCGGTCATGGCAAAAAATGGATGGGGATAATATAGGATTCCTCTGACAATGCTTTGAAATGGGTTGCGAATTAGTGGGTGAATCAACATGCAATAGATGAAAACTCAATGCATAATACATATCACGAAAAAATTATTAAACAATAGCTGAAACCTAGTGAACAATAACTGCGTTGAAAAACTGAGAGAACAATAAATAGAGATCCAATAAATAATAGTTGACTACTTAGGTTTTGAATGAGAGAGTGGAGTAAAAGAATGTCTTCCAAAATTTTTGAGTTTATGAGAAGGATGTGTGAGTGAAGGAAGCAAATCATATAAAGGTTGCTCACTTACATTTGAAGGAGTTTGTGGGCGATTAATGAATAGTAACTCAAGTGTTAGGCTTTTAATTAATTAATTAATAATATGTAGATGATATAGACAAGGTAAATCTCAAAGTTCAAATACAAAATTGAATGTGACAAAGACAATGTGGTCATCCTTCTTCACTCATATAAGGAAAAAACAAAGGGCTGAGTAGAAATAGAGCACTCTAAGTTAGTTGGGATGTTACTAATCCTCACATTATCATTATATCAATATTCTGAATTGGTTGGAGATAATTTTTATCGATATTGAATTGAATTAGGAATGAGAATGTAACAGGTAGGGCTGGGAAAATAGACCAGACCGTTAGAAAAATCGTGGTCCAAACCGTACCGCACAGTTTGGTCTGGACCGTAGACCGTTAAGTATGGTCTGGTCTGGTCCATGGTCTGTATTATTTTATGTTTTGATCTCTTGGTCTGGTCTGGTCTAGACCGCTGTTTACCGGACCAAACCGTGGACCCAACTGACTTGTCAATACGTGTTAATAGTCCATTCGGTCACTCTCCCAACTCCCACTACGACACCCAAGTCGCAACCTTAATTTTGAGAATCTCGTCCCTCCTTCATTCACAACCACATTTAACTAGAGAATAGAGATAACCGTGTCTCCATATGACATTATGTTAATATTTATAACGTTATGGTGCAAGTTGAGATGCTTTTACTTTGTATTTTTGTTATGTACTAAGATTTAGGGTATCAAAATTATTCATGCATGTTAGGATTAATGTTTTAAGGCAAATAACAATTATTTTTCTTGGTTATTGGTTCAATTTTTTGTATGGTTGATTAAACAAATTATTTATTTTTCGTTGAGTGTGGTCTATCTGGACCAGACCAGACCGAACCAGACCGCACAGGCGTGGTCTGGACTGGACCGTATAGTCTGTGGTCTGGTCTGTGGTCTATACTTCAGCCTCTCGATCTGGACCATAGACCGTATATATGGTCTGGTCTGGACCAGACCGCACCGTTTTCCAGCCCTAGTAACAAGTCCAAGTTGGGTATTTTGATACTTATATCCGTTCCGTGATAGGTTGAACAAATTAATCACGTGGTGCAGGTTATGACAGGTCGACTTATATGAGTATGTAATTTAAAAATAAAATATTAAAAAAAATCATATTTTTTCCATTAAAACTCCAAGCAACAAACTATAAACATTACAATTGTAATGAAATTATTCTAGAAATGGAGGTTCTTGCCTATTTTCTTTCTAGCTAAAATATGAGATGATAAAAGTAAAATTATAGTAATTTGAGTAAAATTACATATAAAGTCAGGTCAGGTTAAGTAGAGTACTCATATCCCACCCTGTCTACGAGACGTGAATCACACATCTCGATCAGGTCAAACAAATCAAATAAAACTCATGTGGTCAAAATTGTCATGACTAAATTGAATTTAACATATTCTATTTGGGTAAATGCCACATTTAGTCACTGAGATTACTAAATCATGTCATGTTTAGTCACTAGAAAAAATTAATATTAATTTTGGTCACTCGAATTACTGAAACATGTCACATTTAGTCACTCTCCCGTTAGTTTCCGTCTAACTTCATTAACGGAGTTGGACGGAGGCTAACGAAGAATGACTAAATGTGACATGTTTTAATAATTCGAGTGACATTCATAAAAAAAAAAATAGTAATTCGAGTGATCGGAGTTGGACGGAGACTAACGGGAGAGTGACTAAATGTGGTCTGTTTTAGTAATTCGAATAACCAAAATTAATATTAATTTTTTCTAGTGACTAAACATAACACGATTTAGTAATCCCAGTGACCAAATGTGTCATTTACCCTATCTATTTAGGCGGGATTTAAATATAACTTAAAATAAAGTATCATCGTTAACTAACCATAATTTACACGAAATTTATTTTTTTATCACGAGTGACGTAGAATAGATCAAGTGTTGAACTAATCGCTACGCTATTCGTCCAAAAGTTCAACGAAAATTTGGTTAAAAACCAAAGCCCAGTAGCCGATTCGTTACCGACGGCAAAGTTCAATGACCAGTTTGAGTAATTGACCCTATGTTTCCCGGCCCAGGCTCTCGAACGCTGGAAAATCATATGTTAATCCGACGGCGGCACTTTTTGGTTCTTTTAGACCTTCTGTGGACAGTGATAAGCCAACTTCATTTTCTCCATCTGCATCGTTCAAAAAGGCCTCGGATTCTGATTAGAATAACCAAACGACAACGTAGTGGGCGGACCTTTCCAGGCTCCTCTCTTCTTCCAGCCTGAATTCCAATTTCACTACTTGGTACTTGGTCCCTCTCCTTGTTTCCAAAATTTCGCCGCTGAAAAAAATAAACAACAAACATCGAGATCCCAATATATAAAAAGAAATGCCTCTCACCAACCAGGCATGAATCTCGACTCTCAAAGCTCTCAACTTTCTCCATCACGGGTTGGCCTTTCTTTTTCTCCTCCCATCCCAACCTTTCAATCTTTGATTTCACTCCTTACCCAATTTCCATCTCGCGCTAATCTCTAATGGGTTCTTGTCAACAGGTGAAAAAGACGACGACTTTGCTTATTAGATGTCTCCGGTGGCCGATCCGCCCTCGACCCAGAACGGGAGCTACTCCGCCGCCGCCAGCGTGATCAAATGCGTGGAGGCCGTGACGGCGGCGATGGAATCGTCCAACGCCGACGACGACTCCGATGACATCCTGAAGCTGCTGGACACGACGAGGCCAATCAAGGTCGAAAGGCCGAGGTCGTTCGGCGAGCGGTCGTTCAATGAGCTGTCGGCGGCACTTTCGCCTCGGCACTACAGAAACTACGAGAACTCTTCCAGAGTTGACCACCTCGACCATGTTTATTCTCCTGGGAGATGGTCGGGTTTCAATTCTCCGAGGTCGATGTCGACTCACTTCGAATCGAATCCGATCGTGGCCGAAGCCTGGGAATCGCTGCGGCGAACTCTGGTTTACTACCGCGGCGAGCCTGTCGGGACCATCGCTGCTTTGGACCATTCCAACGAGCAGGTCAATTACGATCAGGTTAGTCAAGAATCTACTCGTCTTAACAACTCAAAGTTGTTGCTAATTATGGTCAGACAAGTCTAGAATCGTTGTTTTGCTTGTTCACTGCATACTTCGGCTGTGAATCACGACTCCAAAACCACTATTAGATGCTATTACCCTGTATAGAATTGTGTTGAATGGCTGATTTTGGGGGAATTGTCGTTCGCCTGGCAGGTGTTTGTGAGGGACTTTGTGCCGAGTGGGTTGGCGTTTTTGATGAATGGGGAGTACGAGATAGTGAAGAACTTTCTACTGAAGACGCTGCACCTTCAATCGTGGGAGAAGACGGTGGATCATTTCAAGCTAGGAGAAGGGGTGATGCCGGCGAGCTTCAAGGTGATCCACAAGCCGGAGAGGAACGTCGAGACGCTGATCGCCGACTTCGGCGAGACAGCGATCGGTAGAGTGGCGCCTGTCGAT